GCTGGGTGTTTTTGCCACCGCTGTCTGTCCTGCTTAGCAGCCGACTTGTCCCAAGGCCTGCAGTCCGGCCCACCAATGCTCTGAGGGACAGTGAACTGGCCCCCTGTTTAAAAAGTTGAGGACCCCTGCATGATTAGGAATGAATCTTTGCCCATCAGAAAAGCCAGCTTGCCTTTTTCTCCAAGAGGAAGCAGCTGAATTCTCCTGCTGTCCAGGGACACGAACTGTTTAGTCACAGACAGAAGGACTGACTTGACCCTCGGTCATGCCCTTCAGGGAAATGCCAACAGAAGCCAGAGGCACAGACAGCCTGTGGGTTTTCAGAGACAACCCTTGGTGAGGGCTTCAGAAGACTGAGCCCTGGCAGGTACCAGGCACCACGTGCCACTCGAGCCACCCCTGGGGCCCCACGTGCTGCAGATGGGCTGGGCCTCCGAGAACAGACCCATGGGAGCTCCACTGCAAGGGCCACATCGTGGAGGAGGCCCCGTCTCTGCCCTGCCGCCCCTCCACACACTGCAGGGAGGTGCTGAGTGAGCTGGAAACTCAGCCTGCCCTCCTATTCTGAGAGTCGTACTTGTCCTGAGGTGCAGGAACACAGGCTCACGAAGGACTTTTCCAGAGCAGAATGTACCCTGCCAGCCTCCCACCGCAGGGCCAGAGGCAGAACATAGCCCTTCAGACACACACAGCCACGCCCTCTCCCCTGACCATTTCAGGCCCAAGAAACTTTTGAGTTCCTTGAGAGCTGTCCACCAAGGCCTTCTTTTCCATGAGCTGTTCTCTCATCAGAAGCACGAGTATCCCAGCCTGTCCTGCCCAGCTAATCCCCTCCACCCTTGGTCACACTCCCAGCTGTGACCCCCTGCCCAGTGGGCCTGCACTTCCCGCCAGACACTCAGTATTCAGAAGGCATGAAGAGGGGTTTGCTCCGCTCAATGAGGGAGAGAGTGGCTGCCCAGGTTTCCTGAGCCCATTCAGTGGAGGGACAGAGGGCTGCTCTCTCAGAGTGGAGATGTAGGGTCAACTCTTGGCTCTGCTGATCAAAGGATGTCCCTGCCTCAGTTTACTCACCTGTGAGGTAGGATAACCATTCTCACCCGCTGCCTGGGCTGCTCCAAAATGGATTCAAATAAGAAGAAGAGAGTGCCCCGCTGGGACAGGGATTCCCTGCGGAGGACACTGGGAACAAACGGTGTGGCCTGGGTCTTCAGCCTGGGGAGGTGCTGTGGAGAAGGAACGGGGTCTTTGTCATTTCATGCTGGGGCTGGTCTTCAGGGCCCTGCCCATGATGCAGATTTTCCTCAGTCAAAATGTGGAGCCTCTCAGCCTCCAAGTGCCTTCCTAATTGTGGCCAGGCCATGTCTTAGAATTCAGCGCTGGTTACAACCACTCCGCGGTGGGGTGGTGGTCCTCAACCTGAGGGCACAGTGGGGTTGCCTGGGAGGTCCGTGGGGTGCGGCCTGGGCATGAGCACTATAAAATCGCTCCCTCTGGGGAGTCTAACTCACAGGCAGGACTGAAACCAGCAGCTGAGGGCAACGGCATCACTCCCAGGACAGGTGAAGAGCCCGCAGAGTGGAGTGTCAGAGCAGGGTGACACCCAGGGGCTGCTGGGCACAGGTCCCTTTGGGCTGTCTTCTTCCTTCCCCCAACACCATTCCCTGCACACAGTAGCTGCTTATGGACAGTGGTGGACAGAGGGGCTGGAGGCATCCAGAGGGGCTGGGGCCTGGGTTCTGTCCTGCCTCTGCTGCTCCCCAGCAGGGCCTTAGCACCTCAGCCTGGCGGCAGGAGTACATGTGGGTACCCTGCCCTCCTGAGGAGCAGGCAAACAGGGAGGGGCCTCCTGGCCTCCGAACACCCTGGTTTGGGGAAGTCATGTGAGCAAAACAGTGTCTGTAGCGCCTGGGGGCCAGCTGCGGGAGGCCCCCTCCTTCCTGCTGCCTTTTTTGGTGACTGAAACCTTAGACTGATCCTGGAGCCAGACAGGCGGGCAGACAAGCACATTCTTTTCAGGGGAGGCCGCCTCCTCCTCTCAGTAGGAACAGGGAGGCAGGAGGGCAGGGCCTGCCCAGACCTGACCTCAGACTGGGTTTCAGGCTGTGGGGCCAAGCTGGGCCCCTAGGGGGCTGGGGGACGGGTGAGGAAAGCCACAAAGGCTGGGGTCTGCAGTTAGAGTCCGTGACTGGGAGCGGAGGGACTGGAGTGGGCTGATTCAGGAAGCCCTGAGCTCTAGGTGTCCAGCTCCAGCCCCAGCTGTGGGTACTTCTGCTGGTGAATGGCTCCAGCTCCGGCACCACAGGGGACTGGAAACTGAGTTGTGCAAAAGGCCGCTTTAGGTTTGCAAAACTCACGGAGCCTCCTACTGATCTGTGTTCCTCTGATGACCTGGAGGCAGCTGCAGGGCAGGCCAGCTCCTCCTGACAGCTCTGCAGCCCTGGGGTACTTATCCTCTTCAAAAATGCGCTTTTGGCATCCCCCCTGCAGGAGCAGGGCTAGATGCAGGAACAGGGCTAGATGCAGCCCCCCGCCCCAAGGCAGGAGGCACCTCCTTCCACAGTTCACCTTTGCACTGTGGCTGACAGGTCTGACCCCAGCCCCCTCTGGACCTCAGTGCTTTCCACCCACGGTGTACAGAGGGCTCCATCGCGGGCACCGTCCTGGCTGTTAAGTCACGTCCGAGGGAACTTTGCTTTTGGGGGAAGGTGGAATGGCCCACGGGAATTTGAATCCTGAATCTAGGACTTGTTAGCTCTGAGCATGGCAAGTTCCTTAGAATCTTTGTACCCCAATTTCCTCTTTTACAAAATGGAGGTAACAGCACCCCCTCAGAAGATTGTTGTGGTTAAATGAGACAAAACTAGGTCTGGCACACACGCGATGAGGGCTCAACCATTACCTGTCCTCCTGCAGGCAGCCCCCCAGCCCCCCAGGGTCACTGGGGACCCTCCTGGGCACCAGCCTTTTGAAGGGAACAGGCCACCTTGGCCTCCCATGGCTGAGCAGCGGCTGGTATGAGCACTGACCCAGTGCTCTCCTCCCAGTCCACACTCTCTTGGTGGCTGGCAGGGGCAGAAGAGCATATTATGAGGTCTCCTGAGCACTGGAGGAGAGATCTCTGGCCTCTGGCCTGTGGACGTGTGGTGTGACCTGGAAGGATGGGGAAGAGGCTGGCTCAGGGCTGATGGTCACGGAATGGGGCTGTGGGCCAGGCGTGGTCTCCGCACCTCACAGGGGTGAACACACATTGCTCACAGCACCCTTACAGTGGGAAGTGTTATTTTATTATGCCTGTTTTAGATGAGGAAACCGACGTGTACAGTAAGGTCAAACTCCAAATGAATCAACAGGCTTCTGCCCGACTAGGGAATAGAGCAAAGACGTGGCCAGTATCAGGCTGGAAACAGCCTGCGGGGAGGCAGGGCGCGGGAAGGAAAAGCAGCAGCAGGAAGGGGCTTGCTGGGTGGGGAGGGGTCTCTTCTGAGGGGCCCCTCAGAAACTGCAGGCTCCCACACCAGTCTCTGCCTGGGGCGACATCCCTCAGTTCTGTCTGCACAATTCTTTGGGACCTTCCTAAACCGAAGAAGAATCTCTACCATTCCGTCTGCAAGTCGTTGCTAAGGGTAGTGATACACGTTTACTCAAACTGCTGATTTCAAGGAAAGCAAATCCAACTTGAACTAGCTTAACCGAAAAAGGGAAGTGTGGTGACTTCTGAGGATGGGGTTCCCCGACAACAGGTGGAACTCGTCTTGCCAGGAATCTCATGTTCTGCCCTTTGCCTGCCTCCCCGGTGGCAGCAAGTGGCCTCTAACCTATCTGGGCATGTCGTATCCCATGGCTCCCACTGCCGGGGAGAAAATCCCCAGGAACAACTCAGACTGGCGTGCTGGGGGCCCTGTTCCTGCCCTAGGCCGGGAAGCAGGAGTTTGCAATGCCAGGCCCCAGTCTGTCCGGGATGGTGTGTGCTGCAGCCCTCACAGAAGGGAGAATGCAGTGAGCATGGCAGTCACCCCACCCCGCTGGGCCCCCCGCAGCAGGATACGGGTTTCCTGGCCTCCACTGGGTCCTGCCGCCAGATGCCGCAGTCAAGAAGGCACCGTCCTCCAGTTCAGTGGAGCAGACATTTATTGAGCACCTATCAAGTGCAAGGCACTGGGCAGGTGCCACGGGAAACACAGAGTGAACACAGACGGTCCCTGCCCGCAAGGAGCTCACAGTCTAGACGGAGGGGAGACACAGTACATGACCAGCTGCAGGGACACCTGCCAGAGCGGCCGGCAGGCACCAGAAGCCAGAATGAAGTGCTATGGGATCACGGAACACATGAGTGCACTGAGTAGTTGGAGGCACTGAGCACAGGAGGCCTCGGCTGGGCCTTTGCAGAGGGAGGCCACTGGGGAGAGGGCTTTCCTAACAGAAAGTACACATGTAGGCGGAGCCCACGGGTGGCAGAGAAAACCCGTGTGGCTGCAGGGGCACTTTTGTAGGGACACATACAGTGGACATTCCAGTACGGCTGGGAAGCAGACAGCCATGGGTACTAAGCCCAGGGGTCTGAACCTGGTGCCTGGCCAACCACCACCGTGTATTGCTGGACAGGAGGAGGGTGGCCAGAAATGTTTCTGGAAGAGGAACCTGGCAGTGCTGTGCTGTCTGGGATGCGGAGGGGACTGGGGAGGGGGCTGTCTGGTTGGAGCCTGCTGCCCAGGGGGAGGCTCTGAGAACAGCCAAGAGGCAGAGCAGGGAAACCCACGGAGGGTGGTGGGAAGTGGAAGGGGCCACACACACAGTCTGCAGACAGAACATATGGGCATCTGAGGATCCCACAAGGCTTCCAGGTAGAGCAAGCAAGGGCACTCCTGAAGGGCGGGGTCAGAAGTCACTGCCACGGGTTAGGGGACAGTAAGATCCCTAAGAATGAGTGAAGTTTCAAAGTGTGGTCAATGGTCCCTGCACAGGCATCACCCAGAAGCATGCTGAGCTTGCTCCAGAGCTGGGGTAGACGTGTAATCTGCATTTGAATCCAGGGCTGCCCCTCTACCTGGCCCCATATAACCCTAACCCTGACCCTCACCCCACAGGTTAGCCGTTTGGGAACTACCTGCTGAAAAAGAGAAGGGTGTTAAGGACTGGCCTATAAGCAAAAGGGACAAAAAGAAAGAAAAGCCCCTAGAAGGGCAACGCTCAGAAAAAAGGGCAACAGGCCAATGGGTCACGTGCTATAGCAACTGACCTTGCTGTCCTCAGGGCGGAGGACGGTTCTTGGAATCCCACAGCTGGGGGTCCCCAGGGCCTTTCCTAGACTACTTCCACGAAGAGGGTGAGTGGCAGGTTCACAGAGTGAAGAGTGGGAAGCATTAGCAAGGGATGGACAAGATTCTTAGGGGACATTTGGTTACTCTGATCCAGAGGAGCTGAAGTATGCAGGGGGTGCTGGAGAGGCAGGTCAAGGATGGAGGGAGCCAGAGTGACTCAGGCATGTGGGCCGAGGGAAGGAGGAGCAAGGAAGCTCTGTGGAGGGCTGGGCGTGGCAGCCTGGGGTCGAGGGAGGGGTGGGAGCAGGCTCAGGGCACCGTCTGGAGCAGCTGCTGTCTTTCCACAAGTACCACAGCAAGCTGCAGAAGCCTGGACCTCCTCTCTGCTCACTGCTCTCAAAGGCCACACCCAGCTGAGTCCCAGTCACACAGCTGAGCCTGCCCAATGCTGCCCTCACCCCAGCTGGCTGAGGTGCCTTCCAACCCCTTCGCCTGGTGGCCTCAAACTGCAACTGCTTGACAGAAAGGCCCAGGCAGCAGCCTGGGGTCTAAGGAGGTGGCAGGAGATCACCTGGCTCCATAGCTACTTTCCACCCTGGACAGCCTCTCTCAGCAGCAGACACCTCATTTGTTCAATGTGGGTGACAGGCCCTGCCAGCTACACCACGCGAAGGTCACAAAACTTGGGATGCAAAGCTACCCCAGGCAAGCTGGAAGGAGTTACAAGACAGGGAAGCATCACCATCGCCAAACCTACGGCTGCAGCGCCCTGTGCAGAGTGGACCGGCTGTGGGTCCTAAGCAGCAAAACGCCACCCAGTGCCCAGAATAACAGGTAGTGGGGGCCTTTTTAAACGATTTGATAATTAAGTTTTTAAGTAGTGAATTTAACTAAATTTGATGAGTTTCAGAAAAAAATTATGAGTTGTTTTGCTGTAATTTGTGAAATTAATGCTCTTCTGTACTCCTCCCCCTCCCACAGCCTGGGCAGGGCAAGGGCAGGTGCATCTCAGACAACACTACAGACAAAGCTTTGCAGAACTCACAGGGCAAGGCTCACATCGCTCCTACAGAAAACCCGAGACCCCTCAGCCCACTGGTGTTCCTGTAGGCCAGCTCCCTTGCAGGCAGACCCACGACCCGACCTGGACAGTCAGGGCGAGTCTCCAGGGTCTCTTCACTGAAATGAGAGAAACACTGGCCTGGCGAAGCTGCTGGACTGAACTTGGAGCCAGAAGGTCGGGGCCACTGCGAGGGAGCTGGTCCTCACTCCTCTGCTGTGCTAAGCAGAGGAGGTGCAGGGCAGTCAAGGCCACCTTCTTGGCTCGCCTGAACTCTCCCTCTCCTTCCATGGCAGGGTGCCTGGGCACACGGCTCCCAAGTGACAGGGGATGACCAGTTCCACATTAGGTGCATCGAGGCATCTGAGAGAAACACATCTGAGGTACAAGTCTGGCCACCCAGAGGGCCCTAAATTTATCCTGAGGGATGCAGGAACTAAACACCACCAAGAGGAAATGTGCCTGGCGGGAGCACTCGGGATGCCTCCCAGTCCCCGCACCACTACAAACCAGCACCAGTGCCAGGAGCTCAGACGCTGTCCCTGGGGCAGACGAGAGACCGACTGTGAGCCGCCGGGGAGAGCACAGGCATAAAAGGCAGAGCCCTTAAGGTCCAGATGGTAGTAAAGCTGCAGAGAATTAACTACCCAGGAGAGCTTCACAACACAGAACTCAGGCAACACTGAAAACAGACAACACTGAGACACGAATCCTGAGGAGGACACACAGGAGGCTGCTCAGGACACAAGCACAGGAGAATAAACCCACGGCTCTGGGACTGCACGGAAGCTACTAATGCTATTTATTGGCTTGGGTCATTCTTGAGAAAAGAAAATCACTTTTTGGCAAAGCTGTACAAATCTATAGGGGTGTCTCCCCAGGATGTGGACCCGAGATGACCACAGTAATGGGCTCTTCATTAAGACCGTGCCCTGGTCTTCTGAGGCTCTGATGGGACTTCTAGATTCAAGTCACTGTGGAGACCCCAGCCCGGTGGAGGCACTGGTTGGGGTCTGGTCCCTGTCTGGCCACCCCAAAGCTGTGGTCGTGGGCGTGTCCATGCAGTGAGCACTCTGGCCTCTGTTCCTCCTCTGTAGGGTGGAAGGGGAAGGAGGGGAGTCCAGAGGAGCCCCAGGCCTTTCCCCAGCACAGGTGTTCTGACTCCGCCCTGGTTATTCACAGGGCACAAGGCGCCACCTGGTGGCACCACTGGTCACTCCTGCAATGGCCCCAACAGGAGACCCACAGAACCAAGTCCTGACTCTAACTCGGGGTGAGGGCAGAGGAGGCTGGAAGGGGTGAGCACACCTCATGTTAGTGACATGATATATTCATCTCAAGAAAATATACTTTAAGAGATCTTGCTTTCCTTAAGAAAGCAGCTCTTTTTTATTTATAAAGACTAACCATATGCATTTGTCAATATTTTCAGCTTTAAGGAAAATAGTTTAAAAAACATAAAAATGTAAATACACCCAAGAATAACTGCTATTAAACAGTTCTGAACAGGCAGAAAATGTAGACTTTCCTTTTACAGAAAATGTTAAATCTGTAATAGCAGCATAATTTATATATAGAAAAAAGCTGGTCTCGAAAACGCTGATATTTTTGTACACAAAACATTTTTTTCTATACAATACTACAGCCTTTACACTGGGAAGTGAGTCTCTTCACATTATGTTAGTTCCCAGCAGGCCCAGGCCCAGGCCCAGCGTGAGTCAGATTGGCGGCCCTGAGCTCCAGCCTCTCGGCGTGGGCTTTAGTCCAACACCATGGCAGAGAGTGCGTTCAGATCTTTCATGTACGGATGGGCCACCAGAATCTGATCAATTTTCAGTCTCTGCTCTGAGTCGGGGAAGATCTTCAGGAGGGCTTCCCTCAGCTCGTTGGTCTCCGCAGAAGACCTCTGTGCTGGCAAGGACAGATTCTGCTGGATACTGGGAAGGTTCGGCAGGAGTGGGAAGTGGGGCTGCTGAGGAAGCCAGTGGCTTGGCGGGGCACCCTGAATCCGGGCGGGAGGCTGGTGGCTGGAGCTGGTTGGCTGGGTGCCAGGGACTCTGAAGCTGGGGTCAAACACGCCCACACTTGGCAGGGCACTGAGTAGGGGCTGCATGCCTCTGTGAATGGAAGCAAGTCTTAATGAGCCGCGTTATAAGGTAAATAAAAACCCTTCCAAAATATCTACTGTTGGGCTGGGTGCAAGTGGCCCACGCCTATAATCCCAGCACTCTGGGAGGCTGAGGCGGGTGGACTGCCTGAGCTCAGGAGTTGGGAGGCCAGCCTAAGCAAGAGTGAGAACTCATCTCTAAAAATAGCTGTGTGTTTGTGGTGGGCACCTGTAGTCCCAGCTACTTAGGAGGCTGAGGCAAGAGAATCACTTGAGCCCAGGAGTTTGAGGTTGCTGTGAGCTATGATACCATAGCACTCTATTCAGGGTGACAGAGACACTTTCTCAAAAAAAAAATCTACTGTTGGCCTTGAGGCTCAAGACTCTGCTCTTGGCTTCCAAAGCAAGAAGCAAGGCTGCAGCAGAGGTGAGCATGTCAGCTGTCCAGAGGAGCCTGCAAGGGTTCCACCGATGCCACCCTAGACTGATCACAGCAGGGAGAGAAGGCTCTTCCTTTCTGTGTGCTGCTATGAAGACTGAGTCCATCCAGCTGCTTGGTTCTACACCAGAGTGCACTGGAGCTTTCAAAAGATACACTGGGTCTCACTCTTTTGGAGATTCTGATTCTGATTCTGCAAAAGGCCTAGGCTGATAGAAATCAGAAAAAGGGAACCCACCCCAGACGGGCACATTGTTCACAACTATAATCCCAGCGCTTTGGGAGGCCAAGATAGGAGGATTGCTTGAGGCCAAGAGTTTAGGAACAGGCTGAACCTCATAGTAGGATCAGTCTCCACAAAAAAATTAAAACATTAGCAGGGCGTGGTGATCCACGCTCCTAGTCCCAGGTACTCATCAGGAGGCAGAGGCCTGAGGAGTCTGAGGCTGCAGAGAGCTACTAGAACACAACTGCACTCCAGTGTGGGCAACAAAGTGAGACCCTGTCTCAAAAGAAAAGTTACCTATTGATTATCCTGAAGATTCTTATGTAGTAGAAAAAGTAGCTCCTTCAGGCAGACAGGTAACAACCTGATTCATGGATTTCTCTTCCCCACCAAAGTCTGAAGAGGTGCTAGTGCCATAACGCTTATCTACATGGCCACCTGCGAGGGCATTGGGCGGGGGGTCCAAACCTTCCTACTGGACTCCGGCCTGCAGCTGAGAAAAGGGTCTCACCCCAGAGTTTTCCTAACCAAAAGCTCAACTAACTTTAAAAGTTAAATCCCTCTGTGAGAAAAGTGATTACTAAATTATTAACAAATCAGTTAACACCTCTGTAAAAGAGCCTCTAGGTGAGAGAAAAAAGGGCAGGCAGGGCTGACCACCAGGCTCCTCACGGACCCAGTAGGGACTCTCCTCCTAGTGAGTCTGCCCCACGGACCCAAGGCTCACACACAGGCCTGAGGAGCCCAGCAGGGGGTTCCTAGGGTAGCTGCGTGGGAGGAAAATGGGCTGGACTGATGTTCGGGAGGTGTTCAGACTGTTCAGGATGGCATGTGGGAACTGTAAGTCCTCATCTGTGTAGTGAGACCAAAGGCTCAGAAGAGAACTATTCACAAGACCCGGGAGCTAAAACTGTGGCGGTCTCCTGGACAGAAGACACCTGTGTGTGAGCCTCCCTCCCCAGCACCTCCCTAGACGTCCCCCAAAGGCTCCTAGTGCAGAGACCAGCTGAAAGTTTAGAAAGTTTCACTGCCTTGAAAAGCCAAGAGAGCTCTTTCCCCTCAGTCTATAGACCCCCACCCCCAGTATCCCCAAGCAAACAGCTGCTGGGAAACAAACAGAAGTGCAGCTGTAGTTTTAAAAAAGAGGAAATGCCTGTCTTCAGGTTTTGTGATCTGCCCTTAGGTAGGAACTTCAGTGAACAGTGTTACCTGAACTCTGAAGAGAAAAGACCACTCGCAAGGTGTCTTAACCACAAACAAGCCCAAACTGTAACAAGAAAACCTGAACTATCAAATCCATTTCAGGTAAGTACGGAATACTGGCCTTTCCATTCAGGGAAGGTAGGAAGTAATTGTCAATTTCCTCAAGTAGTGACTCCTGAATCATTAACATTAGCGCTCTGTATTCAAAGTAAATGAATTTAGAAAAGCCAGTTACACTTACACAATGAATCCAAGAGGCATTTGCTAGTAAGTGACCACCACTGGGAAAATCGTCTTTGTCTTTTTAGACCCATAAAAAAAGTTTGGCTCCTATCCTCTCCTAGGATTAAAACCAAAAGGACCCAATTATAAATGTGGAGTGCCTTCCTGATCGGTTTCCACATACATTACACTAGCAGCAAATCTAAAGATTAGAAAAAAAATTTAAAGTGTCATTTTTAGTTTTTTTTCTTTTTTTGAAACAGAGTCTCAAGCTGTCACCCTGGGTAGAGTGCTGTAGTGTCACAGCTCACAGCAACCTCAAATACTTGAGCTTAAGTGACTCTCTTGCCTCAGCCTCCCAAGTAGCTGGGACTGCAGGGGCCTGCCACAATGCCCGGCTTTGTTTTTTGTTGGTGTTGCAGTTGTCATTGTTGTCTTAGCTGACCGAGGCCTGGTTCGAACCTGCCAGCCTCGGTGTCTGTGGCCAGCGCCCTGCCCACCGAGTATGGGTGCCGCCACTTTTAGTCTTAATGACAGCATCTGTACTAAGGCACAAATAGCTTAGTTGCAATTTCTTTCTTTCTTTCTTTTTTTTTTTTACAAGAGTCAAAAAAATCATAGCTTGGAGCAGCCTTGAACTCTTGGACTCAAGCAATCCCCCTGCCTTTAGCCTCCTGAGTAGTTAGGACTAAGGCACTCACGATAATGACCAGCCAATTTTGTTGTTGTTTTTGTAGAGATGGGGTCTATGTTGCCTGGGATGAACTCAAATTCCTGGACTCCAGCAATCCTCCTCTGCCTCAGCTTCCCAAAGTGCTGGGAACACAGGCATGAGCCGCCACACCCTACCTGAAATAATACAAGACAGTGTGGAAAGGGAAATACCTAAGAATGACTTCCTTCCGGAGAAATTCTTCTAATCGAGGTCCACTTCTTCCCAGAGGATCATCAGGAACCATAAATATGTCCCCCACAAATGTATACTGGAGCAGTCTGCAACACAGACAGGCAACAGTCAGGTCAGCCTATAAACTCTAAGCCTGCTTAACTGCCTCAAGGAGAAGCAAAAGAAATAAAAACCATCCAAATTAAACCATTTTACTTTCTGTTTTGGACACAAATATGATAGAGTAAGAAACTATCACAGCTGGCCTTCCAATTTCTCATCGAGACTTTCAGATTTGTATCCCAGTCTGTAAAGCAGCTGCTTCTAATACAACTTTTAATATAACTTTGAGGAACAAGATTTGAAGGCTGCCAGCTTAAGACCCCACAGCTACCCAATTAAGGTTTAATTTTTTTAAGAAACCTGGTTACAAGTGTGCCCACGGGCAAACCCACTGAAAACAATCTTGTTATAAGGGAAAATAATATGATCTATGAAGAAAGAAAATCTGGGGTCAGCAGGGCACTCTTCATCAAATCTGGGGACTATGAGGGGACAAAAAAGCCCAAGTTCCCGTGCTTGTTGGCCAGGCCTTACTTCTGCCTTGGTCTTGCAGATTCTGAAAGCAATGGGTTGGCTTGAGCATATGAGTTCCAACTGCATTTCAATACTCCGTGCACACACAGATGAGTGTCCCATGAACAGTGACAATGAGCCCAGGGCAGAGACCCGACAGCAACGTGCCTCGGAAGATCAGCCGCTCAGTAACTGTACTCAGGTCAAAGACCCATTCATGGCTTAGCTGCCAACAGCAGCTTTTTAAGCACGCATGGGTGGAAATGCATAAAATAATTAACTCACCGAGGTATTTATAATACAGAATTTTTTTCTAAAGTCCTCTAATGATTTAGCAAAATATAAATCCCAGACAAGGGGAAACTATGAAAGTGCCACAGACATAAATATCTAGTTATAGTACTAGTGATACTTAGTTTGAGTATGTTCATGTTTTAAGATTTCTGCACTGCACGACTTATCCCTGAAACTACCATATACTCTTGCTTTATTTATTTTTACTAATAAAAAAAATTGTATTTACTTAGAAGCATTCAGAATGTCAACAAAACAGCTGCAACTTTTTTTTGCAATTACAGAGTAGTATTCAGTTAACAGAACAATTATTTCGTATAAGCTGCATCAGAGACAAGTAAAGATGAAAAAACTACCATCCCATAGATAACTAATTTGTGCTGTGCACCAACAAGAACCTGCTTTAAATTTCCATGCCAATTTACAACCCCCATACTGTACCAGGCAAGGTTAGTGGCTACTGAAAATACCACCAGGACACGGCCATCTAAAGACATATTCGGTAGTGTGTTAACTATACAAAAAAAGACACTGCATAGTTTAAAAATAATCTTACACAGCCTTACATTTCAATTTTTTTCTTTAAAGAGAGTGAGTTGTGTACGGGGGCTGGGGGTAAATGCTTTACAGACAAAGAAAAAAAAACTGCACTAGAATCAACTTATTCCTCATCTTCCTCCTCTTCATCTTCACCTTCCTTCTTTCTTCAGCCCTGACTCCCTTTTTCTCTGCTCAGGCTTTCCTTTAGCTCAGTATGCAGCAATATCCTTTTCGTATTTTTCCTTCAGCTTTGCAGCCTTCTTTTCCTCAGGCTGCTTGTCACCCACAGCAGTGTTACTCCACATCTCTCCCAGCTTCTTTGCAACATCACCAGTGGATAGGCCAGGATGTTTTCTTTTGATTTTGGGGCGATACTCAGAACAGAACAAGAAAAAGGCCGAAGGAGGCCTCTTGGGTGCACTGGGATCCTTGAACTTCTTTTTAGTTTCCCCTTTAGGAGGGATATTTCATAAGGGGCCTTGTCCGCCTTTGCCATATCTTCAAATTTTCCTTTCTCTTTAGCAGACATGGTCTTCCACCTCTCTGAGCACTTCTTAGAAAACTCTGTGAAGTTGACTGAAGCATCTGGGTGCTTCTTCTTGTGCTCCTCCCGACAAGTTTGCACAAAGAATGCACATGATGACATTTTGCCCCTCGGCTTCTTAGGATCGCCTTTGCCCATGTTTAGTTGTTTTTCCTCAGCAAGGCACAGAGTCGCCCAGTGCCTGTCCAGCTCTCACTTGCCCGGGCGCCATCTCTATGGAGTCAATATACTGCAATAGCTGTGAGAGTAGGAGCCAGACACAGCCTCCTCACTCTTTGCCGCTCTGTAACCTGCTTTCAGTTTTAAATAACTGGTCAGGTGATGCTTTTTGTTAACAGAAAGCCCAGAAGCCAGTGTTCACTGATCTTAAGGCAGTTTTCAGCAGATGGAAACATTCACAGTCATCAAAACTTGCTTACCAATGAATACTAAACTCCTGACTTAATTTTGTTAGTTTGGATGGTATCAAAACATGTTTTTTTTTTTTTTTTTTTTTTTGAGACAGAGTCTCACTCTATCACCCTCAAAAGAATGCTATGGCATCACAGGTCACAGCAACCTCTAGCTCTTGGGCTCAGGCGATTCTCTTGCCTCAACCTCCCAAGTAGCTGGGACTACAGGTGCCCAGCACAACACCTGGCTATTTTTTTTGTTGCAGTTGTCATTGTTGTCTAGCTGGCCCAGGTGGTGTTTGAACCCACTATCCTTGGTATATGGGGCTGGCGCCCCACCCACTGAGCCATAGACACTGCCCCCAAACATGTTTTAATATAGATATTAACTATGGCTGTAAAAAGCTCAAGAGAAGCATCAGATATTAAAAAGTAGAAATAGTTTCTCCCGACCCCCAAGAAGTGAATCCCAACGAGCAACTGCTTTTGGCCCTGTCCTCTTGGTGGAGGGTCTCAGAGTTGAAACTGCACTTGTCTGAAGTCCACTCTCCCTTCTCAGGCCCAGTGGCCAGCCAGCCTCCCAGGGCACCAAGTCAGGAGGCCATCCGTGCTCCGTCAGTCAACTGTGCCACAACTTGGCCCTTGTGTCATGCAAGACGGGCTGTCCTCTTAGAAGACTCCACGTGGGCACACAGCAGGCCCATTCTTGGCTCTACTTTACGCTGATGACCCTACGGTCAGCCACATGCGCACTGTGTGCGCAGCACAGGTGCTGACAACGTGGTCCCCACGCTGCCTCCTGAAGGGCCCTGGGACACTAAAAACAAACAAAATGCAAATGAAACAGACCAAAACTTTCTATCTGAGGACAAAGAGCATATTACCTTTTTGTAATAATTTCTCGCCAAGAAACGGACTCAGTCACAAATTCTCTGAAGTTATCATTTGTTACAATTATGCCACCAGTTTTGTCTGCTAAGTGGAGTAGAAACCTAGAGTAATACAAAAGAATTTAAAATGAGCAACAAGCACGCGTTTGGAGAAGCTGTGTCTTAAGAAAACAAAGCAGCATCTTCTTCATAGAAAAATCACCAGAGAACCTCACCAAGGTGAGGCAGTGGGACATTTGAGCCCCTGTCAACTAAACATTAATTTAAAATGGTGACTATCTCAAGTTACGATTATAAAAAGTTATTTTTCCTACAACCTAATCTTTTTCCACATGATCCCAACTCCAGTTGATACATTTTTCTAGGAAAGTCACACCATCAATAAATGGTAGTAACATAAATGCATGAGGCCCAGCGTGGAGAAGGAATCTGCACTGCTGAGCTGGTGAATGGCTGTGCAGGTTTCAGTTGCTAGGCTACACTATTTTGGTTCTAAGATTAGCCGCTTGGTTAAGTCAGCCTTGCCATTCTTATTTTTTTATCTTTTTGCTTCTTTTTTTTTGTGAGATGGAGTCTCACTTTGTCACCCTTGGTAGAGTGCTGCAGAGTCACAGCTCACAGCAAAATCAAACTCTTGGGTACAAGTGATTCTCTTGCCTCAGCCTCCTGAGTAGCTGGACTACAGGAACCCGCTACAACACCCAGCTATTTTTAGAGATGGGGTCTTCCTCTTACTCACGCTGGTCTCCATCTCCTGAGTTCAGGCAATCCACCTGCCTTGGCCTCCCAAAGTCTTAGGATTATAGGCATGAGCCACTCCTCCTGGCCCATGTTTTTTAAAATTTGTAGGTTCCTAATTTTTGCCAATTTAAGAAGAGATATGTAGAACTTTCTGTTTAGTGCTTTAGTTACAGATTTACTCTAATGCAAGTTGTGGAAGAGTATGTGGTGATGGAAAAGGTTAAGAATTAACAGTATTTTGGCTCGGCGCCTGTGGCTCCAGTGGCTAAGACAGCCACATACACCTAAGGTGGAGGGTTCGAATCCAGCCAGGGCCCGCCAAACAACAATGAC